CGTTCTCGCCACTTCGGACAGGCCAACCTTCACGGTCGGACGTGCACTGGCCCGACAGTCAACGACTCCCGGACCCGGCGACCTCACCGTCGGACTGCGACTCCGAACCCAGCTCGCTCATGGCTGGACTGCACTCGTCCGACAATCAATTTCCTCTTACCAATACTCTACTTCTCCCGCGCTTCATAAAACAATTTCTAACACTCCGTCCTCCCACGTCTTCTTTCCTTATTTACTTGTTTATAATCATCGGGATATATCTATCTGCTATTACCCAGTCGGACTACTTCGAATCCAAAAGTTTTAAAATTAGGGCAAGAATGAACTCAGAAATGATGGAACAACAGCATCAAAAAGTTGCACAGAGATTAAACATAACACCCTATTAGCCTAAATCCTCCTTACCCACCGGTCCAACCTCTTCGGGACAGGTGGGAACGCAGTACTCTACGTAAACTCTCTACCCAAGGAAAGACTTTTTCATTTAACTGTCTTTCCCGTCTTGTTAGTCGGGAACCTGCGGACTGACTGGCGCCATATTTTGACACGTTCAGTGTCACAAACGAGGACGACTGTACACGCAACACCGCGACGGAAGAGGATATGCAAAGAAGAAGCAGGCTGCGCCAACTTCGGAATGAAGGTCAACATGGATAAAACGGTGGTCATGCACCAGCCGTCACCAAACATGGAGTTAAATACCCTTCGAATCAATACAAACGACACTCCAGCTTCGTCTATCTAAGCAGCACATTTGCACACAGCACAGAAATCGACGACGAAGTTGCGCATCAAATATCCAAAGCCAGGCAGGACTTCAATCAACTCGTGTACAATCACCACGGTCGTCATCTGAGCGCCAATTTGTAGAGTTGAATGGCCGTAATGTTGATGGAACTCTGGTCTACAGTGGAGACGTTAGGACTGTGAACACCTGGCGAAAAAACCCAACGAATCCCACGTCAGTCGCCTTCTTAGAAAACTGTAGTGAAGCTGATCAGACATGATACCATACACGGAAGTTCTGGGGCTGAAGAGAATCCTCAGTACCCATGCTATACTAAGGTTACTGCAACTACGATGGAGTAGCCATGTCGTGATGCTGAAAGAAGAACGTTTATCCAAATGGCTCTTAAACGTTGACGTCCCTACGAGAGCTTATCTAGGAGTGTGGGACACGTCGGGAAGTCATCAGTTATCGAGAAGCGTTAAGGCTAAGAAGGTTAACACTAACGGCTGCGATCTTCCAGGCCCGGTTTCTTAGGAGATGAGAGAAGTCTTGGGAAAGCCAGAATATTAGGAAGGGTATATTCTGCACAGAATGAAAAGGAGAATAGGCAGTAGGAAACTGACTACCAGACGACCGCAAGCCAGCGGACGGCATCTGAAGTCAGGTCTGCTCGCCAATCATCGCATGAGGTCCTGTGTGAGCCGGCTTTTGATTGGCTATTACAGAGGCCGGAAGCAGCGAGCGTTCCGAAAGTGCACTTCGATTTGAGCTAGTCACGACATGCGTTCACAAGTGCACTTCACGTGGAGCTAGTCACTACAAGCTCGTCGACAAGGACAAATACGATGCTTTAAAGGCACCTTGAAGATTCTGTAGCGACTGCAGATCAAGCCGATGACCTGAGAGGATCTCATCGAGGATCTACTGACCTGGAGAAAGTCAGTGAAGTCTGAAGCAGCAATCTATGAAGCAAGCCAGGTCACCGCCGCCAAAGCCAAAGAAGCGGCTCGCAAATCATAAACGCCACCGATCCATAAGCCAACTTCTAACATGTCCACGCTGCCAACGAAAATTCCGCACGCCAATCGGTCTCATCTCCGGACGCAATGCAGCAAAAACCCGACAACCTCAGGTGCTGCACTCACAAAGGCCACTACAGTCATCGCTGTCCCAATTTCCACGAAGACCAACCCCACCACCGGATATCACAGTCTTAATGCCTAGTTGCCATCGACCCCCGACATTCCCACCATTCCTGCGAAAAGCCCCGCAACGATGACGACTGCCACCACCCTCACCACCGAGGAGATCACTTCCTGCACCTTGTTAGCAATCACACTCAGCACCAAAAATAAGAACTCGATTTCAACCTGTCTTCATTGTGATAGCTCAACTTCGCACATTGGCCGCTTGCGAATCAATGGCATAGTGGTCGGTGGACACATGCCTGAGGGCCCAACACACACTAGCCAAGTCTGAATACACCATCCGCACTGCCCAGGCACATTTATATATTACATGAGATTCCAAATAATCGGAATTCTCTGCAATATCGACCGGCAAGCATATCGCAGGGGGTTAAGTAAGTTAAGCCCTAGCAACTGCGATCTTCAGGTGGAGAATAGGCAAGAGGAAATTAACTTTCGGACGACCGCACAACCGCAAGCCAGTGGACGGCGTCTGAAGTGATTTCTGCTCGGCAATCGTCACATGAGGTCCTGTGTGAATCAATCTGTGATTGGCTGTCCCAGAGGCCGGAAGCAGGAAGCGTTTACAGGTTTGTGTTCGACTTGATCTAGTCACGTCAAGCATTCATAACTGCGCTTCGTGTGGAGCCAGTCACTACAAGCACACCTTGCTGATCTAGCAACTCTTCCAGCTCCAGCACTAACAACATCCATCCACCAGCGTGGCCATCACTTGTAGCCTCAATATCTTAACCGACTCTATAGCTTCCAATCTATTCCGCTTACATTGGCACCCCACGTGCATGTCGCGCATCAGCCTAGTCGGTCACTTGAAAATTAATTGCAGAGACTGGCGTACCAGTACCCAGAACATCAACATAAAACCCCGCACCTGCCTAATCTGCCCGCAGACATTTATTCATAGCACAGTCATATACGTCTCCATTAAAACTTGCGGTAGAACACCGTCGGCCACACCAAACACCTCATTAGCACGTATAACACACATGGGCACGCCCAAAACCACATGCTACAAGCACGCAATCGGCACCTCTCATGTAAACGTAAATTGTATCACTAGCCTCCTTCTCCATGTAACTCCTCTGCTACATGTGCAATCCGGACCCGAGGCTATCACAGTGTACTAAGAGCCGTGACTTGGAAGACTGCCAACTGTCGAAGTAACACGGACCTCACAGTTAGCCTAGTACGCGTTTGTGTGGAGTGGCTGATCGGTGGAGCAAGAGTGAGGCTGCAATAGCCCCTTCTTAACGCGACTTTTGGGAGGATGGCCAACAACCATAACATCAGCGTATTTAACGTAGATACATTTATTTGGCGATCGTAGGTCGTCAGTGTGGAGGGCGAAGAGGCGGGGGATAACATAGATCCCTAGAGAACTCCACAGTTATTTGGAAGGACCGTAGACTTTCGCTTGCCACATTGAACGAATTGAGTACGCGAAGTGAAATAGTCCCCAAGTCAAGAGACAGCCCAGCCGGGAGAGCCGCATGCAGAAGTTTTATTAAGAAGAAGACGGCGTGAGATCGTAGGCTGATGAGTAGTCAAGAGATGCACATGCGTACGCAA